TGGGGGCTATTTGGAAAACTTCTGCTGTTGCCTTTTGCTGTATTATCACTTCCATGTTAGCTGGATGCATGATCCTGTCAGGGTGTTATGATCTGTCCTTTCCTGTATCTCCAAAACATAGTTCTTGTGGTGATAATGGCCCTGGTAGGGATAATTCTAGGACAACTTCACCTGCAAAAATATTTTGGAACTCTGGTTGACCTAGCTGGAAAAAATAAAAAGGCTATAATAGATTATGGGGTTACACAACTTCACCTGCAAAAATATGGAACTCTGGTTGACCTGGCTGGAAAAAAAAAAAAAGGCTATAATAGATTATGGGGTTAATTCCCAAGTTGATTCCCCTGCCCAAGAGATCAGGGGCCCAGAGGGTGAGCAAGGATGGACAAACTGACAGGGGGTTGGTACCACAGCAGCACCATGCTCCCTGGCTGCCCAACTGAGAGGCTCTCGTTGCTCACAGGCTTTAGGATGTTTGCTGTGGGAGTTGGCAACGCAGTGGAGGATGAGCTGAGGGAAATTGCTTCAGAACCAGTAGCTGAGCACTACTTCTACACAGCTGACTTCAGAACCATCAGCAAGATCGGGAAGAAGCTACAAATGAAAATCTGCGTTGGTGAGTGGGGGACTGAGGAGAGGGGGATGTAGTCACAGCATATGAAGGGAAGGAGAAGGGCAAAAATGTCCTTTCAGATGGATGTTGCAAAAACCTCTCTTATCTCAGTGTATTAAGTTGTCAGAGTGCATGGAAGGGTCATAAGGCATTAATATTTGGGGTGGTTACCTGAACCACAGCTACCCCTACACCTCATCCAGCTCCTTCCCACAAACTGCCTTCTCCATCCCTTTTTCTCCATCTTTCTCCCCTTCTCTACCTTCTTCTTCAGAAACTATGATTTGAGGCTGTACCCCATCCTGACAATTGCCAAAAGTGGCATAGAGAAAGAAGAGATACTCTTAAAATAGAAGCTAAGGGTTGATTTATTTGGCTTGATTTGAAGTTTGTCATAAAATTGGACATCTGAGTTGAAGCTTGCTAACCACTGGCTGCTTCTACAAGCAGGCACCACAGGGGTAACACGTTTCAAGATGAAATAAGCACCTAGAATCTTTTATATGACTTGTAGCTGTCTAAATGTGGGCAACATGAATACTGAGTTGCTCACGTTTGGATAATCTGAAGCAGCAAAGGTTGAAAGAGGACTGACTGGGAGACAGGCATGGCAAGAGGAGGTAAAGAATAATAAAAAAATATTGAAGAATGTTGACCTGTAAATAACCTGAGCCTAAAAATGATTTATAAAAGAACTTGTTTAGATTTTTGTTTTGAAGGAATCCTATGTCTCCTGTGAAGTATTGGCCCTTTGCAATGTGTCTGCTTGGTCAAGCAGATCATAGTGAATCCCAAACACTCAGGCTTCATTTAAGACCTTCAATATCTTGCAGCACTTCTGAGAGCTACACTGCCAGGCTCACCAGGATCCTGGCACTCTCCTGTCCAGTCCAGGTGCTCAGGCTCCTTTATCCTGCTAGGCAACATTTCCTTCCAGTTTCCAGCAAGATACACTGCACACATCACAGCTCTGATGGGGCTCCTTTAGCTCCCAAGAGAGCTCAGCCAAGCTCAGCTCTACTTCCCATTAGTGTAGACCTAATTTTGAGCATGGCCCCACGTGATACAGAGATCTCCACTGTGTCATGACATGTGGAGATGCTCTACAGCATCAGCTGGATGAAATGATGCACATTGCCAAATGTTATTCTCCTTTTTCCTTCCTTTGCAATTTTCAGCATTGTTATTTGTGCCAAAACCAAGAGATATCCATGTAAATATTGGTGGGTTAGCAGCAGGTGACTCATCTGTTCTTTTCCATGAGTGACTATTACAGAGAAAAAGTACTCAGGAGATCAGGAGCCTTGCCTTAGGGGAAGCAGATCCAGTTCCTTCCATCCTGACAAGTGCCCTGTTCTCCAAGTTTCTAAAGATGGGACCTTCCTCTGCTCCTGGGGAAGTCTGAGGTGGACAATGTCCTGTGGCAGCCAGGATTGTGAGATAGACTTGCTTTGCCATGGATACTTTAGAGAGTAGGTGTTGATCCAAGAGCAAGATGATGGCAGCTCTAGGAACACCTTCAACATATTTTTTTTTAAAATATCTTTCAAGAAAGCAAACACACATTTAAGCTTCAGCATTCAAAAACAAAGTAAAAATGAATTTTGGAAAACGTCTTTGTGAATAAATCAATTTGGGTAAATATCTTAACATTTGAGTTTAAAAATAAAATTCATTATTTGTTTGATTTCCAGTGCCAGCTTGTATTTACCAACAGATGGCTAGAAATCTTCTCTTAATATCCAGCTTGAGCTTACTCATGGCTGGTTTAATCCTTGTGTTTTCGTGCAAATTGTGTCCTTCCCCTTAAAAAGTCCTTCTCCTATTTACTCCTTCAGTTTGCCAGGCAGCTGAGATGACTCAGTGGGGTCTTGTGAACATCTCCTTTCTCCTCCCAGTTACTCTTTTTAGCTCCTGTCCCAGTTTCTTTTCTTGAAGAACATATGTAAATTATTGACATCCATCATCACACTGATTATTGCACATTGCTCTGCCTGCTCAAGGAATGGATTACTGGAGCAAAGCTCAAACAAGTCTTGATCCTCAGGCAGTAAACTGTTTTTATTTCACAAAATAAGAGTATGGCTCACCATGGCCATGTTGGGAAGACAGAGGTTGTTTTGAGCACTATACTTGGTCAGATTCAGAATTTGGGGGCAATTTTTAAGCATCAGTAGTTGACCTCAGTGGGTTTTCAGGAAACTGGAAATCAGGAAAGACATATTGTGCACAGAGCCTTGCCTCCAGAACAAGAGAATGTGAGATTCTCTAGGTTAAAAGCTTAAAAGAAGTGATGAGGCAGATAATTAGAAGGAATTATATTTTCATTTCATTCCTGTTTCTGATAAAGAAAATACGACTTGCTTCATTGTCTCAGAGATTTTGATTTAATTCTTTTTTTCTGCCACTGAACTCATCTTTATGTTCTGATCCACAGAGGAAGATCCATGTGAATGTAAATCTATCGTGAAGTTTCAGACAAAAGTAGAAGACCTCATAAATTCATTGCAGCAGAAATATATCCTTTGGAAACTGTCTTTGTTCAGAATTCAATGGTTTGGGTTGTGCCTTCTAGAGGGGCCAGTGGGGAAGGTCTACTGGTGGGGGAAGGAGGTTGGGTAGGTGGGAAACAAGACACTTGGATTGTGAATGTGTATAATAAGAAGACACCCTGCACCAGAGTCAATACAACCATAGAATCATTTGGGTTGGAAGAGACCTTTCAGATCATCAAATCCAACCCTTAATCCAGCACTGCCAGGTCCCCACTGACCCATGTCCTTCAGCACCACATCTCCATAGCTTGGAAACCCCTCCAGGGGTGGGGACTCCACCACTGCCCTGGGCAGCCTGGCACAGCCCTGGGCAACCCTCCAGGGCAAGAAATTGTTCCTCAGCTCCAACTGAAACCTCCCCTGGGGCAACTTGAGGCTGTTTCCTCTTGTCCTGTCCCTTGTTCCTTGGGAGCAGAGCCCGACCCCCCCCTGGCTCCAGGCTCCTGTCAGGAGCTGTGCAGAGCCAGAAGGTCTCCCCTGAGCCTCCTTTGCTCCAGGCTCAGCACCCCCAGCTCCCTCAGCTGCTCCTCACCAGACCTGTGCTCTCAGGTAACTGCTCACTGCAAACATCTCCAGGGAGGTGAGTTGGGACCACCAGGACTGGGTTCATGGGGCTGCATTCTACCATGCTGGGTCCCATCAGATTGCAAAGACCATGAATAAGGGGTTGAAAGAGAAACAAGAAAAAGGAAAAATTTGTGAATAAGATTCAAACTTCTCAGAGGGAGAGGAATTAGTGAAACTTTGGGGGGGGCTCACTCAGGGCTAGGGATATTTTTTATTGCTGAGAATAAGGAGAGAATATAATATTAAAAGCAATGTTCTAATTTATTCACACATTTCCGTGCTTTGCTATGTCAGCTGCACAGTGTATTTTCTACTCTTTAACTCCAATTGAGTGAAATCCACGACTTGTGTTGTGCAAAAGGTCAGAGTAAATGAGTAGTTCTCACCCAGTGGGTTGCCTCTCCCAGGCACATCATGGAAAGCAATTAGTGAAAAGAGCAGAAAATTGCGACACACTCTGTAACTCCAGGAAAAGCCCAAGAGCTCCACTCCTCACCCAGCACACACTGCTCCGGGTCAGGATTGCTCTGTCAGCCCCTCCAAACACACTCCAACCATCCACACATCTTTCACTCTTCCTTTCGTAGGAAATGTATAGGTGCACGAGTACCTCTGCATGCACGAGCATCTCCCACCTTCAATAAAAGCTCCTCAATATTACCAGGTCTAGAAATGCCAGAGGAGATGGTGACAGAATTCCTCTGCTGCCTGCCCCTAGCAGGGTAGCTCCATTCTCTCTGTTCTGCAAGCCAGGGGAGGATTTGAGCAACAAATCACTAACGTGCACTATTTTTTTCCCCTTAACTCCTGCTCACTGGACGCTGTGGCAAAAAGGATCGAAGCCCTGGAGAACAAGGTCATCTAAGATCCCAAACCAACTTTAGTTCCCTCTTTTCCTAATGTAACACAACCAGAACTCCTTCACTTGTAACAGAGGGCAGCTCAGCCACAGTGCTATGGCCAGCTTGTATTATGTTTTAAAGAGTCTAGTCTACCAGAATTTGTTTAAAAGGGAAGAAGTAAAACAGTAGAGCAGATATTGTATAATGGGCAGAGCACTGTGGGTGACCAAGAGCTAGACCATGCTAATGTTTGTGGCATCGTATAGAGTGCTTATATGAAACAAAAAAAGGGAAAGATTTGTTTCTGATTTAAAGCTTAATATATATCTATGTGTTAATGAGTACTTGATTACGAGTTCTGTGAATCCTTGCTGTGTTCTTCTGCGTCCTTTGTTCCTATGCATGAGATAATTTAATTTAAATGTCAAAGTGTCTCAAAACCAGCTCAGATGCTGGGTGTAAAACGTCCGAGCCGCTGATCAGCTTGTTGTAAAAGCATGACACGTTTGTCAGTAAGTAGGTGAAATATAGTCGTGCTCTCCAGTGTGTGTTGCAGATGAGCTAGGGTAGGCTGCTGCTGCTAGCTGGGTTTCTCCATAGCTGCTGTGCAATGTAGAAAGAAGAAGAGCTCAGCTTTCCTGCCCAGAGAGGGGTCTCCCCGTGGCTCAGTGAACTGGCACCTGAGCTAGGCTGTGCTGGGTAAGTCCTGAGAACGTGCAACGAGCCCGTGGCTCCGTATAGTGCAAGGCAGTGCAGTTACACCAACCCCAGGAGATGTGCCCCTGCTCCTCAGCTCTCAGGTCTCCACGTCCTCGAGCCACCAAACCACAGGGAACTGCTGCTGGAGCTGCTGTCGATGGTGCCTTCATTGCTGTGTCAACCAGAGGCTCAGCAGCTCCTTCCTTATCCCACACCTCTAAGCACCTTCACAACCAATAGGTTCATCTCAACACCTTTCAGACTCTTCTTCTGCTCCTGGATTCCCTGCACCAGCAAGAGAAAAGAGCAATGTGGACTGGAAGCATCTGAAGCTGCCTGTCTGCTACAGCTGTAGTCAGGCATGGAGGGAAGAGGACAGGTTTATTCATGGCACGATGGGAACGTGCACCAGGGAACGTGAGCACAAGGGGCTGGGTTCAGAGGGCTTTTGATTTTTATTTTTTGTATCAAAATATTTATACTTGAGACTATGTGAAAAGCTTTTCAGGATAACTTGGCCTGTTCCGAAATGTCACCGTAGCAGATGTGGTTTTGGGTGGATATTAAAAGTTTGCTGAAAATTTTAAAAGTGAATTTAACTTGTTTCTTTGGGCCAGCTTTGAGGTAGACGCCTGAGAAAAATTCCTCTCCACAGTCCTGTTAGTGGAAACAACTCATGTCACAACTTTTTATTTCAATTCAAAAGAAGAAACAGGTCCATGGAGAAACCATGACCCTTCTCTCAAAACTGAAAGCTTCTTGTACAACAAAAATCATTTTACTCTGGGACTTGCAGGAATGAGTCAACATGTTTCCAAGCATTAGCTCAGGGACTTTGGCCAGTTCTTGATAGGCAAACCTCATTCTCTCAGTTGAATCTTGTAGACCCCAGACTCCAGAGCAGACAGGACCAACTCCTGAACTTCTAGGGGTAATCTGTTCTCTGATATTACACAGTATAAAATCCAGACCTCTAAAATGGGTTTTCCCATGTTACCTTCATTTCCCAACAGAAACACACCTCACAGTGCACGCTTGCCAGGATTATCTAATGTGCACGTTTTAGTGCAACAAAGCTGCACCTCAGCCCATTTCTCTTTATAGATTATAACAATTCCTTCAGATTTACACAACTAACTTTTAAACACCTCACCCAGGGCAACCAAGTTGATTCTACGGCCATCCAAGGAATAGTTCCCTGGTTGTGTGGAATTACTTTCCATCTTAAAGATAATATGTTGATAATGGGGGAAGAGAAACCTCCACAGCAAGCTTCTTCATACTATGGTTCTCAGCTTCTCTTTTTCTCAAGGACTATCAGAAGCTGGGCTCCTGACCCAGTGCAGAATCTCACCTTGCTGTTGAGTAACATCTATCAGCACAGTTACAGCCAATCAGTATCTAAAGGGGCTTATAGGAAAGATAGAAACTGACTATTTAGCAGGGCCTGCAGCACAGGACAAGGAGCAACTATTTTAAGTTTTAAGATTTTTAGTCTAGAGGGGAGATTTAGACTAGACAGGAAGAAAAGATTTTTTTAGAATGAGGCTATAGAGACATTGGAACAGGTTGCCCAGAGAGGTGGTCAATGCCCCATCCCTGGAAACATGTCAGGTCAGGCTTGATGAGGCTCTGAGCAACCTGCTCTAGTTGAAGACGTCTCTACTCACTGCAGGGGAGTTGGATGAGATGACCTTGAAAGGTCCCTTCCAACCCAAACCATGCTATGATCCTGTATTATAAAGAAGCTACGGAAAGGAGTGATGCAGGAGCAAGTGAGCAGCAATCCAGGAGGTGACTGTGAAAATGAGGAACATATAAGACTAATGGTTCATGCTCTTGAATCAGAAATAACGGATCCACAATGGTGGTGGATGAGAAGACCTGGAGGTCCAGCAGTTGTTTAAGCCTATATATCACCTTTTCACTGTTGCTTCATGAGCTGTTGATCCTATTAGCTCTCCTCTTTGAAATCAGGGTTCAAGTATAGCCCAGAAAACATCAAAGATGATGGAAATATTGAATAGTTCTCACCATGGCCCCTACTCTCGGAAATAAGACGAGATTCAAGCTATGTTGAAGTTGTTGTCTTGTGACACAAAGTTTCAAAGAAAAAAGACATTTTGGGCTGGTAAAGCTGCTGTTTCTGTCATGTTCATTCAGCCTAGTACTCATCTGGTCCTCACAGAATACCTGGTTTAATGTAATGGCCAGGTTCTCTGACACATTTCTGGACTTCTTCTATTTTACTTTGTTTTTCTCCATTTTTTTCATACGTCTCTTCAATCTAACAGCTGATCAGAGGCAATTCACTCCCACGTGATAAGATAATGACAGCACTATTTTTCTTTTCTTTTTTTCCCAGCTATAATCAGTTTCCCAATCATGGAAATGAGCTCCTGTAGTTAATTTTCTCATATGCCTATTTATTCTTTAAATGCCTTGAAAGTAAAATTTAATAGTCTGAGGAATTAAAAGATGGATTTGATTTTAATTCCTGTCATGACACCCATGGAAATCTCTACGTGATGAAATATTACTATTGTCATTCTACAGTTTAAGCCATTTGTCTGACTTTTTCTGGTAATGGGATAATTCTTGTGAAGTGAGGGTTGGATCTTCACCTCCACAGAAGAATCTGCCCATTCAGCCTACCTGCCCAGTGCCAGTCTGATCCAGTAACTTCCATAAAACTGAGTGCTGTGTATGTCTTTGGGGATTAAAACAATCCCCAGTTCTTTACAGGGAGGCTGATTAAGGTAGGACCATGCCTAGGGGCTAGTGAGTCCAACTGCAGTGTGAAGGGTTGATACACCAAGCACAGCTCCTTCCAACCTCTGCAAGCCACCTTGAGGAAGGACCTAGGAGAGAGTGCACCTTCCTAAATCACCAGTCTCCCTGTTTCAGAGCAATACTCCTGGATGCCACAAAAAAATGCCCCTCTATGCAGACAAAGCAGCTTTTGTTTTCAGTGTTTATGAAGAGCATGCCATTACTTCTGTCTTTCCACAGCTATTTTTTCACTGAGTTTGTCCATCCACCCATCCATCCATCCACCCACCCATTGACCCATAAATCCATCCATCAATCCATCCATCCACCCACCCATCCAATCCAACCAGTCAAGTAGCAATCTTCATATTTCTCTACACTATGGTCCTTCCTCACAGAAAACCTCAATCCAAGCCAACCTTTTGGCATCACCAGGCCTACTTCACACAGTAAAATCCCCCCAGGGAACGCAGCAGAGGAGTGGACCATAAATAGTTTGCGGATGGAAACAGAAGAGATCACTTTTCCAGTGCTTGGCAATGACAGGAGAGCCAAGATGTATCGTCAAGCACAGAATTGCCTCTGTAACTAATATTTTGTTTTGTGTTACAGATAAAGCAGAACTAAACTAATTAACAATTATTTTTCCTCCCTTCTCTCTTCTCCTGGCTTAAAACAACAAAAGAGCTCTCGCATCTCCAAAGTCAATTAGTCACTGGGCTAGAACATCAGCTTTTGACATTGTAATTAGACTTCATTAATGGATTGCCAACGGCAGCAAGATGGAAACCTCCTAGACAAGGAGCCCCTCTTTGCATTTTCTTTCAGCTAATTACGTGCTTATCTCGGAAACAAAAAATGCTGCACACAATGAAAAAAACCCACATATATGTCCCAAATTATGGAGTGATGGGCTAAGAGTGAAAACCTTGCTAGAGGTTGTAAAATGGTCCTTTCTGCAGACATGGAACTGCTCTTCCCTCACTTTGCTCCTGCAGATGAGCAGTCCTTCCCTCCCAGTCCTTCTCTGCCCATGGCCACCAAATTCCAAGTTTCTTTAGATCTTCTGGGGAAAAAAATGTATAAAATGCTGTCTTTTGGGTATGGAGAAAATTCTTCACCACTTTTTCCCTACTTGCCCCTGGGTGCTGAGCGTGCCATTGAAAGCCTGAGCCCCTCACTGCTCCCAAAGGCAGGAGAACAGTTCTGTCTTCCAGTAGAGCTCTTTTGCCAACAAGATCCCTCTGGGGAAGCAATTTTCTCATGCAGGTCATTGGTATTATAACACAGGGCCATTAGTAATCAAATAAAAAAGTGCTTTCAATTAAACTGAGGGCTCCTAGCTTGGTAACATCTTTCAATAGCAATTTGTAACACTAATACAGTGTAATTGCTGCTAATGAATGGGTAGGTAGCAGACCAGTTATTATTATGATTTTTCTCCAAGCAGCATCAGGCAGTGAAACCTGTCTCAGGCTGTATGAATTTACTGTTCCTTCTGAAAAAAAACAGTGAACTTCCTCCCTCTTAGTCCTCTGAGGTAATTCAGAGAACAGACAGTTCACAGTGCTAGTAAATCCACACTGTGCAAATTATTATTTGTCATTTTGTGGTCAACTTGGGAAGAGGTTTCAACAAGCCATAGTACCCTGGGCAAGTCCTCCAGTACAGTACCCTGTGTAATTCCACTAGTGATGAACTTGCTACGGATCAGAGCTCTGGCAATAAATCCTAAGTGGCTTTAGACTTCAGATAGTCATCTGGATTGATTTATTTTTTAATCCCCAACCATGGCAGGAGCTGTGT